TTGGGAAGCTGAGGTGGAAGGATTGCAATTTAGCAAGATCCTGCATCAAAATAAAAATTAATGTAGCCCCATGTTAGAGCACTCACAGGTGTAATCTCCAATATTGCAACAAACAAACAAACAACAACAACAACAAGAAGCATTGAAGGCCCTTGTGTGATTTCAGAAATGGGAAAAATTACCTGCTTCCCCATCCTGGTTTGTTTAAAGAGTTAAAATGTGGTATTAGATATTATGCAGTGATATAGGTTCTATATCACTTTATCTATATAGGTTCTATATCTACATGGGTCTCAAATATTTAGGTGGTATTATAAGCCAACTAAATTATCAATTTTAATATTCCCCAAATTATAAGTAAGTTTGGTTTTGTGATTACAGACCTTTTTACTTATATGGCAAATGGCATCTTATGAATCTCACATTTTAAAATAAATAATGATACAATAAAATGAAAAACTACCTTTTTAGGTCGTGGTCAATTTATGGGCGATAAAGTACATTATTGGAATAGTTTTAAAAAGACAAATACAAATAGTTCTCCAGTATATTTTCCCAACAATGTGACAATAGACAATATATAAATCCAGATGCCAGTCTTAGTGATAGCGGTGTTAACTTTCTTAAGCATTATCCACACTTCCAGTGGAGTACTACCACGAAAACCCCATCAGGGATGTTCTGAGAACACACCAGCAATGAGCCAAGCTTCAGCAACATCCACAAGAAGCATGTGCAAGAAAACAAAGGGTTGGCACACATGATAGTTAATATTCCTCCCAACTGAAAAATCTATAATTCCTGGAATGAGTTTTTTGAAGAACAAAAATCAGTTTCTTTTTTTAAGCTTATTTGTTAAAACAGTGCGTGACGGATATCTCCATAGCATATTGCACAACCACCTAATCATGTTCTGATTCAAAAATCTGTCAAAGGAAGCCAACCAACATGACCCTTACCACAAATATTTGGCACTTTTCATGATGATAACATTTGAGATCTACCCTTCCTGCAAAACAGGGCAGCTCTTGGACAATAAATAAGTAAGTAAACTTCTTCCTCCTAACTTTTGTACCCCTCAATTATCATTTCTCCATCCCATCCCACTCTCAACCTCTGGTGACCTCCATTCTGCCACGTTTCTGTGAGCCCCAATTCCAATTCCACTTGTCAGTGAGGCTATACGTCACTCACCTTCCCATCATGGGCTTATTTCACAATTTCATCCTTGTTGTTGCATTTCATCACAACATCCCTCCATACCCCGTAAACATATAAAACTGTCATTTGTCAATATATAGCAACAATCATAATAGAAAGCAGAAGTGACATAATGCCTCCATTTTGCTCTGATAGAGAAGGCTAATGAGCCAAGGGATACGGAGCTTTTATAGAAGAGCTGAATAAAGGTCAGTCTAATCATTCTGGGTTCCTAGCATCGGAAATTCCTTAGTTTTTGGTTTCAGAATCGGGCTGCTTCTGGATCAACCATTATGCTCTCCCTTACTTAGGTCATGAACTATTACTAAAGCACACAGTTCCCCTAATAGGAAAATATTCAACTAAAGAGAAAATGTTAGAAAATAATTGTGAAACTGGGAAAAAAGTGTCCATTTGATTATTTTCCAACTTCAAGAATATTTTAATGATCCATTTGTGTCAATTATAGTGTAGATTCCAGAATAACCCAAACAAAAGGGACATTTGTTTGCTTCTAGGATGAAAGTATTATTTTATTTTTTTAAAAAAAATCAAGATCAATTTTCCATTAAATGTTTGTTTTTTCAAAAGATGTGAACAGAGATCCAGAAGCACTGATCAGTCTAGGCAAATGGAATGTCAAGTAATGGAATCTGTTTCTGCACTCGGCTCAGCAATGCTGAGAAGGCAGGGAGATGGCTCTATCCTTAGTGGCATATCAAGAGCGAGATGAGCCAGGAGTTTCATAAAAGTATGACAGCTCAATGGTATTGTCCCTTTGGCAAAGTGACTCTCACCCTTTGTGTTTGCTTCCTCATCTCTACAGCTGACCCAGCAGGGAAAACAAATCTTATGTATGTGCCCACGATTTACCCCACGTCTCTATTACCATGAAGGATCAAAGCAAACTGGAGAAATATTTTAATTCAAGCCATTTGACCCTTCACAGAAATAGAAACATGAGATAGACTCGGTCATTTATCAGCAATAACCACAATCAAAAGAGGTTAAGTTCATGCTTAAAGTGATGGCACTTAGGAAATGATGAAGAATTGGAGTGATTTCCTACAGTGAATTTGGGCCACAGTGTCAAGATGAGACCATTTGCCAATGTCACCATTTTCCAGCAATTGGTCAATGTCATATTAACCACTCTAGTTTTAATATTAGAAGTTTGAAGTTCTTAAGAGTCAAAAAACTTCTGCCTTTTCAGATAAAGAGTGTTAGTTATGCTATTTTCTTTTTGTGAGAACAAAATATGGGCAATCATTACACTGTTAGTTTTATATATAGAAGGGTGCTACTTACAACTAAACTCTATATAATTAGAGTGGTTTTCACTTTTAGTGACTCATTTCTCTGCAACAACATAAAAAAGTACTCCATCTGTATTTTAGTCAATTGATGGCTGCTCTTGGCAGAAGGTGAAATATATACATTCATACATATATACTTCTAGTAATCAGTAAAGACTTATCTTTTCTTTACTTTCTGTTTAAGAATTTAGAATGAAAATCTTACCAGATAATAAATATCAGATCATAAAAAGGTAAACAGGTCTTGCTAATCTCAATATACAAGGAATATAAACTAATGCTCAAACTATTACAAAATGCATTTATCTGCACATTTTATATAAACTAGGGGGGAAAAGTCACATTTTCATAATTTAAATTTCACACAACTTCCCTTACAATAATTTTATTTTACTCCAAAAGTGAATTTATTTTCAAACGAAAAGATAAAGTCCAAAAATCAGTACAGAAGATTGACAGTGGATGATATATCAATGCACTTTTTCAGTCTTGCAAGAAACACCGAGAACAGTGGTTTATGGTGTTTTACTCTCTGCAATTAGATAAAATACCAACTACCCAAATCTGTGATGTAAAATTTGTGTGTAAAAATTTTAGTGATTACATGATGTCTATGCCAACTTACAAATGCACTTTATCTTTGTTGAATCTTTCTTCACCCTGCATAGATCTCTGAGATACAGCAAAAACCAAAAAAAAATTTATCATTCATGCAAGTGTGTTTCCTACATGTTACTGTAGAAATGAAAGATCTTTTGTCATTCACTTAAATATCAGTAGAGACGAGGTACTCTGAGAAGAACTCCTATGCTGGGAGCAGACCTCAGACAGTACCTGTAGTAATCCCTTCAAAACTGAAACAAATGAGATGGGAATTCAGTTATGTAGTAGTCAGGCTAACTGGCATATTTCCAGCTTGCCCTGGTGTGGACAAACTCCATGATCTAATTAGTGCTTGGCAGGCAGCTGGCATCTGGGTTCTGGAGACTGTAGCATCACTGTTGTTATGTAAGTGGTTTATTTAAACCAGTGGTAGTTCCATGTGGTTACCAAATAACCACCATCTCGACACTCATTCCTGGAACTGTTAGTTCCAATCTTCGGCTATCTTGGTGTGTGTATAAACTCGAATGAGACACATTTCAGTACTTAGTAGCATATATTCAGTTTGGTGTGATCTTCTAAAAATCTGGCTTCGTGATCATAAACCTGTGATTAGAAGAGCAGATTTAATATGGAGCCTATAAATTCTGCCTTTCCTTGGAGCAAGTAGCCTCCATCTTATACTTCAAAAGCAACTGGACAAGAGGATACTATACAATGATATTTATGCTTAGAGCAATTGAATATTTGAAAAAGAAATTGCAGCTGATTTTCCTAATAAATTGAAAGATATTCAGTAAAAATTCAGGAAATCAGACATATCAGTAACAATGTTTAGAAAGAGAAATATAGAGCTGAGAGACCTGGTGTTTGATCCCCAGCACTGTCCCCACCCCTCCACCCCACCCCCCAAATAAAAAAGAAAAAGAAAAAAGAGAAATATAAATATAGAATGATAAAAAACTGACATAATTTCTCAATGGGGGGGGGAAATAAGTTTAAAATATGTTTCCTTCAGTTATTGATATAAATAAAGAATAAATCTTTTTCAGTATAAGAAGTAGTATTTATGTCATCATAAATTTAGTTAAAAGCATGATCACAATTTACAAAAACTATAATTACAGATTACAAAGAAAATAGGCAGACTCTAATTGACATTCTGTTTGCATCTTGTTACCTATCAATTTTCTGTTCCATTACAAAATTCGATATTAAAATGTTATCACCAACATTCCATATTGATTTCAACATTAAAATTTATCAAAATGATTAAAAACAGTCAATTAGAAAAAGCAATACACCAAAAATAACATTTCCAGGTCTCTTGCATTGCATTGACCATCGGATAAGGAAATCAAACACGCCATTAACTTTTTAGCAGGCCCTTGGCACTGGATTGCAGGACTACGGAAATGCTGGTGAAGTGATCAAAGAAGCATTTCCTGTCCAAAAAAAATATCAGCAGGGAACAGGAACGGGATCCCAGATAAGCTTCTGAGCAATAAAGAACATTAGAGTTTGACTTTGTCTCGTAGGACCAGAGCCTCGTGGCCATTTTCTCAGCTAAAATCCACAATTATTACACAAATTAAATTTCTGTGTTGGAAGAGAGCATTCCTTCTGGGGCAAACTACTCCACCATGATGAATGAGGATTCCTCCTTCACTGTCATATAAATTGCACTGGAGGGAGGTGTCCACCAAGGCAGAATGGGCCTCCCAGCACCCCAGGTCCTCAGCAGGTGGTTAGCAGTGGCCCACCCACAGGGATGACCAGATCAGGACGGTCCACAGTCGCTGGGGTAGATCAGCCCACTGCCAACCAGAAGACATTGTCTCTCAGGACTGTGTCTTGACACGTGCACTTCGCTGAGTGGTCCTAGCACTCTTCAACTTTCGAAACTTTTGATTCATTTTCTTTGCGTAACTTTTTCTGTTGGTAAATGCATATGGCTATAGCAGAGATGCAGAGCAAAATAAATATCACAACTGCTATCACACCTGGGGTAGGGGAGAAGACAGAAGAACACCAAGTCAGAATATAAATGGTGATTTTTGCCTTAATTGGGGGCCTTGCTAACATCACTGCCTAATAAGTTGGGTTACAACAAACCAACCATGTACTATATCATAAGTTGGGACCATCAAGCCTCAGGAATTTTAAGGTCCAGTGGTTTTATAACATTTGGTATGTCTGAGTTTCCATGACTTTTGGATATAGCTGGGGTAGTCCTTTTCCCTAAAGGCCTGTGATTGAAATTCAGCTTTTGTGCTTAAAAACAGAAATAGGACTTGGGAAGCTGGGGCAGGAGGATCACAAGTTCAAAGCCAGTCTCAGCAAATTAGTGAGGCCCTAAGCAACTCAGAGAGACCCTGTCTCTAAATAAAAAATTTAAAAGGCTGGAGATGCTGCTTAGTGATTAGGTACCCCTGGGTTCAATCCTTGGTTCCGAAACAAATAAACAAACAACAAAAACAAATATACACAAGGCTCTCAGACGAAGTTTTAAATTATCTTAAAAGTATAGGGGCTGGGTTGTTGCTCAGTGATAGAGTGCTTGCCTTGCATGTGTGAGACGCTGGGTTCAAACCTCAGCACTAGATAAAATAAATGAATAAAATAAAGCTAAAAAAAAAAAGGTTACTACTACTAAAAAAAAAAAAAAAGTATAGTATGTTTAGTACCATCCTAAAATAAATGTTATTTTTAACTAAGTAGATACATTTTCATGAAATTGTTTTATATCTTTGTAAATTTGTTTTGATGATAGAGATCAAACCCAGGGCCTACCACCCTACCACTGAGCTACCTCCCCAACTCCAAAATACTTTAATGACAACATAATTTTGAAATGCAGTAGTGTAACATATATGTGATCAATCCCTGTCGCCAAAAATATTGCAGGGATACTTATTAAGTTTATTTTTGTGGAATGTGGACTATTTGAAAGAACCAGGTGTAAATGTTCTAAAATATTGAGACCATTAGCTATGCCATGGTTCTCAACCCGAACTCATGCTGAATCAGAATACCTGAGGGGAAGACCTGGTGCCTCCTTCTAGTTTAAGGCTGTAATTCAGAGCCAGAGTGCTAAAGCACCCCCAAGAAAGCTAGCTGTGCAGCAATCATATTTGTGAAGAATGAAAGTCAAATCTATGCTACACCAAATAACTACGTATAAAGCCAAGCTTGGAGTGCCCACATTGTAAGTGTAAGACAAAGGGTATCAATTTGTATCTCCATCTGGTGACTGTTAGAATATGAAGACTGTGTCTGTGAAGAGTCTTTGTGATTATTAAATGAAATAAAGTGTATAAAACAATTAATTAAAGTCTAGGTATGGTATAGTTATGGTACTTTCAGTAAATGAAAATTATTATTAGTTTTAAAAATCATAATAATTTCATAAAATTATATTTCTAATTCAATGACTAATGGTTACTTGAATATTTCTTTTATTATACTAGCAAGTATTTCAGAGGATCAGGTTGAAATAACAGTAAAAAACAAACACTTGATTTAGTAATAAACAGACATAAAAGAAAAATTCTCTGAATCTTATCTCTTATGCAAATTATGACAATAAAATATGCGAAAGAAATAAGGCTGAAGTATATATATGAGAAGAATAAAATAAATTATTGAAAAAAAAAAAAAAAAGACCAGGGGAATCCTTCTGCGCATATTCCTTCTTCCCCTCCCCTCCTTCAAGAGCTCATTAGAGTTTCTCAGGACAGCCCAAGAGCACTGTATGATTGATTGTTGAACAGCAGAGAATCTTGCCAGTGATATTTACAGAAAATCTTGCCAGTGATGTTTGACCAAAAGCAATAAAATTCCAAAAGTAAGTTTTTGTTGTTATTGTTATTGTTGTTCGGTTTTTAATTTGCTGACTACCTCTAGCTCTTCAAGAAGGTCAGGGGCTAAGTCTGACATTTTGCAAACACTTGTAGGACTTGGGATCCTGTTCTGGAATGTTGAACATCTTTAAATTGCTTTTGTATTGCAATGAAAAATTGTCTCAAAAAAATCAGGATTTATTAAGGATTATATTTGATTTAAAATCTACTTTTTAGATATGCATTCTTGACTACCTTCTCACATAAAACTGTGTAAAACTGCTTTTTTCCTCATTGGGTCATGTATTTTTATTTTATACCTTACTGATTTCAAAGAGAAAAATAACCAAGAGAGTGACAAATGTTAATACACAAAAAAAGATATTTAGTCAGGTTTTCATAATGTCTGAATTGTTTTGTTTTCTATCATTTTAGAGGAAAAAATTTTGCTTTGTATGTACTATGAAGAGTCTATACAACAAGAAAACGATATTTCAATAATCAATTAATTAATTAGTGAGGAAATATGAAATCTTATTTTTTTCATACCAGCTCTGGATAAATTATATTTCAAAAAAATGAAACATTGTTTTCATTGCCAAAAAGATATGTTTAGATTGTATTCAATTTTCCCTTCAGTGAAAAATAACCTATCAGACTAACTGGAAAGGACAATTAAAAGTGAAATAAACCGTGGCTTTTGCTGTACCACACTGAGAATGTACAAGATGACACTGAATTGTACAGTAAAAAAAAAAAAATGCACTTGAAGTAATGTTCAGCATATTTAAATTTTTAAAAGTTTCTTTAAAAAAATCAAATAATAAGTGAAACATCTAAATCATGCAAATTGCCTTTTTTAAAAAGTGTCATAACACGTGTGCTCTATTCATTATTTGGCTTTTGGCTTAGGTTTTTGTGGCTGTGAATATAATTACTTGGGGCAGTGTCTTGCTCTAATAGCTATATCAGATCTATGCCCTATCTATCTATCTATCTATCTATCTATCTATCTATCTATCTATCTATCTATCTATCCATCCATCCATCCATCCATCCATCCATCCATCCATCCTTCTATCTATCTTTCTATCTATCTCTCCCTCCTTCCTATATATCCCTCACATCCTAGGGAATACAGCTATTTATGAAATAAGAATTTTTCATTATTTTGTAACTTTCTTTTATTTTCCCTCGGACTGTGGATGGAACCCGGAGGCCCCCTTACCCCTGAGCTACATCACCAGCCCTTTTATTTTGAGACAGGGTCTTGCTCAGTTGCCCAGGCTGGCCTCAAACCTGCCATCCTCCTGCCTCAGCCTCCCAAGTAGCTGGGATCCCGGGAGCGCCACCACGCCAGACTTTACCTGTTCTTTAAAAATCAAATTTTCAGTGGAATCATCACAGAAGCATCCTCCCACTTCCCCAACCCCAGCTTAAATCAGTAAACATCAACTCAGAAAACCCACAAGCACCCTTTCCCCTCCTGGAGTGCTGATTCTTAGCTATATTTTTCTATTAAGTTAATACTGTCAAATGGGAACAAATAATTTTTAAAATTTAAAAAGTTTTTTTTAAAAAGGCGACAGTAATGCCGCAGACGAGTTCCTTCAGCCCCTTTACCTCCGATGACCCCAGAGTCGCTTCTGTCCGCCTTCACCAAAGGCTCTCCCTCCTCGCCGGGTTCGGAACGACCTAGGGTAGGAAAGGGGAGGCTGCCAAGGGCGTCGCAGGCCCTCTCCACCGCGCACAGCCGCGGTTCCAAGGCCCGCGGGGAGGGGCAGGGGGCCACGCACCTGCGCCACCTGCGCGCCGCGGAGCCAGCTCCCGCGCTCCATCGCCGGGCCGCGCCCCCGCCGCGCAGCGGGCCCCGGCGGCCACGTGGCCGCGGACGGTGACCCGGGCCGGGCCTCCGGGGCGCAGCGCCTTCAGCGGGGCGGCGCGGCCGAAGCGCACGGCCGAGAGGCAGCCGGTGAAGCCGCGCGCCGCCGCCCGCCGCGTGTCGGGGTCCGCGCCCGGGGGCTCTGCGGGGACAAAGCGACACAGCGTTAGGACGCAGGGGCACTGGGCGCGGTTGCGGACCCCGCCTGCACAGCCGCCACCGGCTCCGACCTGCGCCCCCTGTGCCCCCCGCGCGAGAGCAGGCGGCTGATGGCCATTTCCAGGGCAGAGGGCCTCCGTGGACAGCTGCGAGGGACAGCGACTCTGTGGGGGCTTCAAGGCGACGATCTGAACTCGGTTTTTAAAAACTGATCATTAAAACACACTTGTCAGGGAGACCACAGCCGGCAGCCGCGGGAGGAATTATAGTAAACTGACTCCTGGAGACGACAGAGCTCTGGAAGTTCAGTTTTTACTCCTTCTGTTCAACTGTCATCTTTCATGATGTACATTGGATTCATGGCTTTCATGTCCTCTTAACAAATTGTACCTTTTATCCCCAGATAATGCCCTCCCCCACCTTTGAGCTCATTCAGTTGTTCTAACCTCAGGCGCATCTTGTCTGCTGGCAACGCTGCACCTCTGAAATTCATTAGCTGGGACTTCCTAGTGGTTTCCTTATTGTAAGAGCATTTAACTACATATTTTTTGACCTGAATATGACAGCATTGAGGCTATTCACATTTAGAGTAACAACTTCTATATCTGATTTGATTCATTTTATCTTACACTATTTATTTTGCATGATGGTTTTTTTATTTTGTTGATGTAGTGGTGTATTATTATTATTATTTTTTTTTTCAGAGATTGAAGTCAGGCTTAACCACTGAGCCACATCCCCAGTCCTTTTTCTTTATTTTTTATTTAGGGACAGGGTCTCATTAAGTTGTTTATGGCCTCCCTAAGTCACTGAGGCTGCCTCAGCCTCCAGAGCTGCTGGGGTTACATAGTTTCCTTCTTCTTTCTCCTTTTCTCTTTCCTGAGTTTGAGAGTTCCACTTTCTTAGCACCCACAATCAGAAACATTCTCTTGTACCATTACGTGAAAACAAGATACTCTTTTCCCCAACACATTCATCCATCTCTTGGCTCACTTGCCGTCAGTAAGAGGAGCCCTTGGGCATGGGCCCTTAATAATGGTCAGGTCCCCTCCCCAGGTCCCTCCCCGTGTTACCCACAGGCCAGAGAGTGAGCCTTGGACAGTGTTGTTTCCTCTTAGTTTTCCCTCTTTGACCCTCTTTGGTTTTACTCATGCTTATCTCCTGACTAGAACTACCATTTCCCTTACTTTTATGTATTTTTTTCTTCTATTTCAAGAACCTTTGTATAATTATATATATTTTTTTCTAAGAAAGAACTTTTGACATCACTGAGATTCTACCCTTAATCAAACTTTAATCAGGCTTCTCTGAGACATCTGCTCCACTAGCCCCATCTTTTTTTTTTGTTTGTTTGTTTGTTTCTGAGTTGTGGAATTTAGCCAGAACCCTCCACTCTCCTTGACGTCCTTGACAGTCCTCCAGGTGATTGATTAGCCCAGCGGGTCTTCATCAAGAATCCCAATAGGTCAATTTAGTAAGAATTCTCCTAACCTCTTGGTAATTTTCCACCCACCCCCACCCAACCTGGCTGGCTGTCAGTCTACACTTTTCCTTGCATTTTAAGCTGAGCCCAATCTCTTCACTGCAAAACCCCAGTCCAGAGTTCCTTTAGTCCTGAAGAAAGTCTGCCATTTTGTCATGTGTAAAAATATTTCTCTCTTTGACACAATATAATACAAAAAGGTTTTACAATAAATCATGGTATTTTGGACAAGAATCATATAGTTTTAGGGGATCTTTTTTTTCTGATGAATGGTGAATATTCATTTAATTTGAAGGTGATGGAACAGAATAGAGCTCTTCTAATTCCTCAGTAAATTACTTAAGTCAATAATGATCACCAGATATACTTTTTTTTTTTAAATGTCTGAAAGGAAGTAATCACTTTGCCTACTCTGAGTCTACCAGGCAATCACTCATTCAACAACCCAGGAAGAAACCCAAGGGTGAAACACTCCTGGCTTTTAACAAAACACTGTTAGTAATTGTTTCTCAGTAGAACACATTTTAAGTAGAACTCAACACTTCGGCAGTGACCTGAATTCGATTTTCCTATTGCCTTGACAAGTTGACATTGTCTTCCATTTCTGCACCTGTTGGCTAATTAGCTCTAATCAAAAATGTCTGTGGGTCACTCTGCCCCCCTCTCTCTATGGTACTCTACCTGGATTCCTTCCAATTCTCTCTTATTTTCCATCAAAGCCTGTTCTTGAATAAATTCACTTTTGCATAAATACCTAATTATGGTTTCTGATAGTACTCTAAGAAGTATATGCATTTTAGCAGAAGGAAAGACTTGGTACAAAAGAAATGGGTCTTTAATTATGGAATTTGAAATATTAGCACATGAGGAGGTAGAAAAAAATATTTGATGTAGGGCTGGCTTCCCAGGCCAGTGTCATGCCAATTAGACAGGTGTCTGCTTTCACAACAGGGTGTCATTTGTTTGAATGAAAAAAAAAAAATGACTACATAAGCAAGCAAATGGACAGTGTTTTACATTGTGCAATATGGTAGACACTAGCCACATGCAGTTCAAATCAATTAGAATTAAATAAAAAATTTAGTCCCTCAGTTACACTAGCCACATTTCACTTGTTAAAAAACTAGGTGTGTCTAGGAATGACTGTGTAAGTCAGCATAGTTCACCATCACAGAAAGCTCTATTTGCTAGCCTTGGTCTTGGAGGCTCATAATTTCAAAGACCTCAAAACATCCATGATCCTCACTGACTCCCAGTTAATGTTAAGTTAGAAAATCTCAAGAGATTTCTATGGATTTCTACTAAATTATTTCTAAGTTTTCCTCATTTTACAGATGATATGAAAAGGAGTTAACTTACACGATTAATCTTGGATCTTCCTTGATAAACAATGTAAAATCTCATCTTTTTATTTTTTTTTTAGATTTCTTGTGTTTTCACTCTATAAAATTGAGAAAAGTAAGTTGCCCTGGGCTCAAGTGTTTCTCTGTTTTTGCCTGATAAACCAAGAAATGTAAGACCTGACAGCACTTTATCCAGACCGCTTCTCAAATTTGTTTGGCACAAGTAATTTTGAGGGATAAGGATATCTTTCCCTATGGGATAAGGAATAGTCTTGCTTAGTGCTTGCTACAAAATCTGTAGATTCCCTAAGCTATGTGTTCCTCAGTTACAGTGCAGACCCGGCCCATCTGCAGCATTGACCCAAATGTTTTTCCCAGCTCCATAAGACTTAATACATCGGGAAACCGTGCCAATGGCTAATGTGCATGAAACTTGCTATATAAATAATAGAGCCCTTTATTTCTAACCCAAGCGATCTTATATCATCTGCCAGCATCCACAAATCAATTGTAGGTTTCTTTAGTAGCTTGTGAATCAGGTAAAGAAAATCTCAGACCCAAAATACAATAACCCTTGTAAATGAGGCAAATATCATAGTATAAAAGTAATATAAAGCCATAGCTCCACTGAGCTTTAAATGTTATGTCTTATGTGACATCTCCTTGTAGAACTCAGAACATAATTTCCAGGAATAGTTAATTACCAAAAGCATTTGACATTCTCATATCTGTGTAATTGTGATAGTATGTGAGTATTTACACTGCTTTGCTTAGGGGATGGGGATGTAGTTCAGCGATAGAACACTTGTCTAGCATACTCAAGGCCCTAGGTTCAATCCCCAGTACTTCAGAGAAAATAATTAATTAATTAATTAATTAAATGAAAATAAAATGTAAAAACTTATAGGCTACTGCTTTATTTTCTGAGAGAAGATAAAAAGACATGCTCAGCTTCTATATTTCTTATTTTGTTTTAGTACATTTCTTTTTTAAGTTTGTGGTTAAAACACACACACAAACAGCCAAATCAAAAGGATAATAATCCTAATTATTTGGATAAAGAATCTAACAAAAGTGACAGGTCACTTCTCCTGGATTATAGTATTTTAAGTGTTGACATTCTTTAAGATATTTCTCTGATAAAATTCAAAACTACATAGAAAATTTGACTTTAAGAGCTTACATTGAGGTGGGTGTATACTGAATTGATGTTGAGATAATTAATTTGAATGGTCTTCATTAAGCAAGAAGATTCAGAAATGGGAAGATAAGAGCCAGGTGTGGTGTGGTGGTGCAGGTCTATCATCCCAGCAGTTTGGGAGGCTAGGGCAGGAGGATCGAAAGTTCAAAGGCAGCTTCCACAACTTAGTGAGGTCTAAGAGCAACTCAGCAAGACCTGTCTCTAAAATAAAATATTAAAAATGGGGCTGGGGAGGTAGCTCAGTGGTTAAGCACCCCTGGGTTCAATCCCTGGCGCACACACACACACACACACACACACACACACACAAAAGAATTGGGAAGATAAAAACAGCATGTTAACTTTAATGAATTCTGGGCTATTTCTTCTGCAGTATGGTAAATAATAACAAGCATTATTTTATTATAATTGCTCACACACTAGCCTAAGTTTCTTATTAATATGTGAGTATAGGATAGGATAAGTGCAGTGACTCTCTTATTCATAAGCTGCCTCGACATCTAATTAAGTGTCCATAGTCCATTTTCACCAAATATTTTTCAGTGAGTGGATAAGGGAATGATTCACAGGGGCTAAGACAATTAATAATGATGACTTACCACTGAATACTTTGAACAACTTTCTTTGGAAAATTAGTGGCTTCTTTTTTCCTCAATATGACAGTCTATCTTATTGTAAGTTAAGAGAATAAATATACTTCACATGGCTCTCCAAGTTTGAATATAAAATTATATTGGCATAATTATTAAATGGCTGAACAGCAGCAAAAGACAACAAAAACCCATCCCAAAGACAGCTGTCCAAATCATGAAGTGCTGCTTTAGTCTTTGATTATTATTTCATATTTGCCAGGCATCGGCAGAATGAATATTCATCACTTTCTGAGGTCAGTGGCTTCAGACTCCATGCTTCACTGCTCAATTCAAACTTGCATTTTTAAACCCTAAGTTATATGACTTTGAATAACATTTGAATTAACATCTTAACCCCCTGCACATACTGATTTGGAGGGAAACAGGAATTTATGCAATTAATATTGTTTCCTAATTTGTGATTCTCTTTAGAGTCTATATCATTAAAATAGTTCATTTTCAGAGCTGATTGACATATTTCTTTCCAGAAAGATTCCTTTCCTCAGTAACTATGATGTTAATTTAAAGTTAAGCTGTGTCTTTCAAATACATCCTCCCTGGGGTATCATTCTCACTTCATCTTTCCCCCTGGGTAAAGGTGGTTATGAGCACGCTTCATAGCTCTGGTTCAGTGTCATCAAGGACAGAAACATAGGCCAAGCAGGACTTGGGACTGAGTTCAAGGTGCTACCATCTGCTGAAGGAAATCAACCCTTCTTTCGTCTGTCTTCAGCTCATGGGTAGTTTTATCATTGAGTGGAGGTCCCTGAGTTGAGGCTGACACTCCATGTCGGCTTTGGTGACAGTTCACTTTTCAATAAGTGTTAGAAAAACACCGTGAGGCTTGCCTGATTGCCCAGGGGGAAGGTAAGTGTGGGGTGTTTTTCAGGGGAAGCCTTTGCTCATTTGACCGCCAGGCAGCACTTACTCATGGTTCTATGTGCACGCAGACAAAAGTGCCATTTGTGCCTTGATTGTCACTCACTGGGAAATTATTATTAAAATAAGACAAAGAGCTTCTTTCAGCATAAGGAGTGCTTCCAGAGTGTGTGACATGACACTTACGATCTGATGTTTTTTGGGAGAAAGATCTTTCTGCCACTTACCTAAAACCTTTCCCAACGTGAGGGATTTGATGGCGTTGAATTCTGTCCCCGAGGATAGGATGACTTGTCTCTGCACACTCTGGTTAACCTATTAAACGCCCCGTGGGAAGCGAATGTCAAAAGGAGATACAGTTTTAATGATAAGGAATCAGAGGAGGCCAGAAAAAAAAATGATAAAAATAAGTCACTTGTAAGTTCTCAACAACGCTTAAATAATTCACCTTAAAACAACATTTAGGAGGGGAAACCGATTTTATGAACAACCTCTAACTGCCACAAGCCGCCTGCCCTCCCACCCCACCCCACTCTCTTTGCTGCTTTACTTTTCTTTATGATGTATCTGCAGTTGGCAGAATCCACAAGAGGACGGAAATCAATTATTTTAAATGTAAAAACTTATTCTCTGGAGGAGACTTGACACAGCCAAAATAATTGTAGTTTTATGTGCAGACTTAAAATATATTTTCTTTTGAATGTCAGTGACAACTGCCTGACTCTCTTCTGACTCAGGTCTATTTTCTTATTTATTCCCATTTCAATGAATATCTTGCATGCTCTCATCTTGTGTTTAAATTGCTGACCTATCTGTTCTTTTGCTATCACCTACTGAAATATTAATTAACAAATTCCACCCGTCGTCACCATGATAAACTAGACATTTCCCTGCTGAATCAAGTAAAACAAGTAAGGACATCTTGACATTTTTAAAAGGACTTAAGAGTAATAATAACTTTGACAGGATCATTGCTTAACAAACAAAACAAACTAAATACTCCTCTAAACCCTGGCTATATTTGGTTTTCTGCCTTGATCTATGGAGAACACTTGCTCATTTGTTACTATTTATCATCATACTTTTGCATTAGATTATCCATTCTCCGACAGACTCCTCATGGTGGTTACTGGGACCTTCAAGTTTGCTGCATTACCTCTACAGAGACCACGGCTTCCTCCCTGTCAATCTTCAGCTGGTGAAGGTGCCCATCCGCCATGTTTTTAAAATCAAAGTTAAAAGCGTCTGGATCTCGATGTCTGTCTAGCTTGTACCTGACCTGCAAACTTCCTAAAGAGGAAAATAAATGACATTTTAAATTACAATGGTATTTTACAAATATTTCAATGCAGATTCTAGAGCACTTATATTATTATTTATTTCATGCACCTTTGACTCTATTTAGCTTTGACTTGAATACACTCAACACTTGCCTCTTCTATACTAGAGGCGACTTAAGTGCCAACCTGAGTCCAACTATACTGTTTCTAAGTCAAGATCCGGTGCATTGATAATCATTGGTCTTCTAAATCTTTCCAAAATGAAGAAGTTTAAATTATACATATAGAAACTCAGAACTTAAATCTAAATTACAACTATATTTATCTTAGAAAATGATAAAACTGTAACACTGTATCAATATTCAGTTCCTATTATTATAACTTATTTAATAGCATCTATTTTGATGTGTTACTGATATGTGCATAATTAAGTTTTTATTTTGCAACCAGAGTTTCCTTATGAAGTCTTCTACCATAACCAAAGAATAGGGAAGAGAAAAGGTTTTATTAGAAGATGAGGTTTGTGTAGTTTTCATGTTTTCTAACATTCTTAGCTCTCTTACACAGATATACCCTCAGGGCTCATAACTCTTAACAACTTACATGAAGATTCTGATACTATAGGATTGTCTAGAAATCAGATTTTTGTCCTAATTCACTAAATATAAAGTATGACTTCACTGTCCAACTGTGAAAGTCCTGTAATGCCCCAGCTGCCACTGGTGGAGAGATTGTCCCGTCACTGTTCTTAGGTGGATGTCATCTAACTTGCTTGTCAACCATGGATGAGATAAAGAACCGCTGCATTTATCAATTGCTTAAGGAAATTGGCTTTTAAATAGCTCCATGATATCATCCATATTAATGCTCTTCTACTTACTTAGAATGAGCAGGAAATAAATACCTGGCAAATATCCAAATATCTTATTTCAAACAGACTTAGATCATCATGGAGTTTTAAAGCATCCTAGCAATCGTAAGTATAATTTCATATCAAATCTGTGAAATCGTCAGTCTTGGAATGGGAAAAAGCATCTTAATTTAACCTTTAAATACTACTTTTTATGATAAGCATTATGGAGAGTACTGAAAAACCAAAGTGCATCTTAGAAGGCATGCGACTTTCTTTATTTGTAGTTTAAGTGCTGAAAAGACCCATATCATTATAGTCCTATTTTTCTAATTCAGTGTTTTCTCTCTTTTTTCTTCACACAAAAGATATTCACCATTGTTGGCCAGGATAATGGAAAGGTATTCCTCATAGAAAGAGCTCACATAAAGCAGTAAGCTGGGTGTCCGCGTGGTTCGGAAGCTCAGTGTGACGGTCTCTTGGGACAGTGTGACATCCCTGTGTAATGTAGAAGCAAGGGAGCTGGTGTTGTCACCTAAGGGGTGATGATCTTGAAAATCATAGGTCACTGAGGAGCCAGTTTCAAAATATGCAGAAATCTCTAGAATGAAAAGCAATTTTTGTCATGTTAACAGAATGCAAATACAAGTCTTGTTGAAAGAATGTTTCAATGTTTTATTTTATTTTGTTTACTCATATAAAGTAACAATAGCACGATCTCTTGGCACATTTTCAATAGTTGGTCATATTGTAAATTATAGCATTTACAAGAACATCATTCCTTTTTCACTGATGAATAATATTTCATTGAACAGAGGTACCACACTTTGTAGATCAGTTCATCAGATGATAGACATTTGGGCTGTTTCCACTTGAGCTATTTTAAATAATGCTGCTATCAACATTCAAACTTTTGTGAGAACATACATTTTCATTTAATATATACCCAAGAGTGGAATATCTTAGTCTTATCATAACTCCATCTTTAATATTTTACACTCCTAACAGCAATTTATGAGAGTTTCAATACCCCCACATCCCCACCAAAAATGCATTATTGCCTTTCTTTAAAACTATAGCTGTTTTTGAACTATGGTTGGCAATAAAGAATATTTCAAAAGAATGAGTAGAACAGACTTTGAATGTTTCCACCAGAGGAAAAATGATAATATCTGAGGTGCTCGATATTCCAATGAACCTGGTAAATCATTACACATTACATATATATGTATGGAAGTGCCATGCTGTACCTCATACACATGTACAATTGTATGTGCCTGTGTGTGTGTGTGTGTGTGTGTGTATGTGTATAATAACAGCCATCCTAGATGTGAAGTCATATCTCATTGTGGCTTTGATTGGCATTTCTCTAACAGCTAATGTTATCAAGCATCGTCTCACAGGTTAATTGGCCATCTGTATATATTTGCTGAAGAAATATTCACAAATTCTGCCCATTGTTTGATTAGGTTATTTGTCCTTTGGATTAAGTTATTGGAGTTTTTATATAATTTGGATACCAGACCTTATAAGATAAACGATTTGCAAACATTTTCTTTTCTTCCATGATTTGGATTATCTTTTCACTTTCTGATTGAGCCATTTGAATCAGAGATGTTTTTAATTTTGAAGTCCAGTTGATCTGTCCTTTCTTTCTCCCACGTTTTAGGAATCCTACTGTTTCACCTTTCACATCAAGTTCTGCAACACACTCAAGGTACATTCTTTGTATTGTGAGACTGAGGTCCATTCTCACTCTTCTGCGGTGTACGTGGATACCCAGTTGTCCCAGAGACCCTTCTTTTCCCTACTGAACTTCCTTATCACTCTGAAATCCATTGACCACAGACATGAAAGTATAACTCTGGACTCTGATCTATATGGCTTGTCTCAGGCCAGCTACTCGCTGTTTTGCTTATAATACCTCTACAGTAAGATTTGACATCAGAAAGTCTGGATGCACTAAATCTGTGCTTTCTCAATTTTTTTTAATTTTTTTTGGGGGGGGCTATTTTGAATCCCTTTCATTTCCATATGAATTTTACCATGGACTTGTCAATTGCTGGAAAGGACCTAGCTGGGATTTTGATAGAAATTGTATCAAAAGGTAAAAGTTACTTGCACATGACTTAGTCTTTTTTTTTAACATAGAAAATCCTGAGAGATTTGCTAAAAATAAATCTGTAGATCAATTTAGGAAACATTAAGCCTTATTTATTTTAATTGTTATAATCCATGATTGAAGTATCTCTCTGATTATTTGTCTTTCTTTCAGATTTATGCTTTTACAGCGTACATCTTCCATTTCTTTTCTTACTGCTACATATCTTGCTTTTTGATACTATTATAAATGAAATTGTTTTTTATTGATTTTATTTTCAGATGGTTCATAGCCTGTGCACAGAAATGCAGTTGATTTTATATATTGATCTTTTATCCTGAAGCTTTTATCAACTTTTTTTTGTAATAGTAGAATAGCTGTTAGTATTTGGTAACAGAAAACAGGATTTTCCATGTAAAAATGACTATATCGTGTGCAAATACAGGAAGTGTTTCTTGTTCCCTCCAAATCTGGATGTAGTTTACTTTACTATTGGCCCTAGCTGAAACCTCTAGAACAACATGGAAGAGAAGTTGTGAGAGTACTCATATTTCTTTCTTGTTCCTGACCTTATGGAAAAACATTCCATCTTTCACAATTGAAATGATTTTGGCTGTGAGGTTTTCACCAGGCCACTGGTTAGGCTCAGAGTACTCGTCTGTTACTAATTTCTTCATTTTTTAAAATCAGGAAAGTGTGTGGGATGTTGTCAAATTACTTTTCCGCAGAAATTAGATGATTATGTATTTTTGTTCCTTATTCCAAAATGTTATATTGTATTATATTTATTGATTTTCAGCTATTAAAACAACTTTTTTGGATAATTGCTATTTTATCTTGGTGAATGATCAATTTTATGCAATTGGCCTTAGTTTGGCAGTGTTTTCTTGAGGAGTTTTGCATCTACATATTTAAGTGAAATTAGTATGTAGTTTTCTTTTGAAATCTTTGGTTTTGGTATCAGGAAAATACTGACCTTACACAATGAGTTGGGAATCTCTCTCTCTCTCCTCCTCCTCCTCCTCCTCCTCCTCCTCCTCCTCCTCCTCCTCCTCCTCCTCTCTCATTTAGCAGAATTTTGAATAACAAATAGTACTTTTTATTTAAAAATGTCATAGAAATTACCAGTGAAAGCATACAGACCTGGGCTATATCTTATGTGATTGTTTTAAAATAACTAGTTTTGTTCATCGTTATAAGCTATTCAGATTTTCTCTATTCTTGAGTAAATTCGGTAGTTTGTGTTTTTCTAATAATTTGTTTCATCTAAGTTAACTGATTTTTTCACATATGTAGTTGTTCATAATATTCCCTAACAATCCGGGTTACTTCTGTTACTCATTAGTAATGTCTCTCTTGCCCCTGTCCACTCTAGTGACATTGTAACTTAAATTCTAGTAATTTAAATTCTCTCTCTTGTTTTCTCTGTCAGTTTTACTGGGTTTGTCAATTTTGTTAATCTTTGCAAAGAACTAACTTTTGGTTTTGTTCATTTTCTGTTGTTTTTATAATACCTACTTTATGAAATTCACTATAATGTTTATTTTCCTTCTCATTAAATTAGATTTAGTTTGCTCTTCTTTGTCCAGTATCTTAAGATGGAAGGTAAGGTTATTAATTTAAGACTTCTCTTCTTTTTAAAATACAGACAGTTAGAGCTATGAATTTCCCTCTAGACATGGCTTTAGCTGCATCAAATAGGTATTGTTTTCATTTATCTCTTTTTTAATTTCCCTTATGTTTTTTATTCTTTGTCAAACTAGAAGTGTAAGATTTATAATATTCCATGATTTGTTTTTGCTATTGATTTCTAATTTCATTCCATTGTGTTTAGAAGGATTTTTTGTATGATTTCAATTAAAATTTAAGTTTATCAAGGCTTATTTTACAGGTAGCATGTTGTCTATACTGGACAATGTTCCATGAGTGCTTAAGAATAATATATTCTGCTATTATTGAGTGGAGGATCATTTGATTTGGGTTTTATTTTCCCCCAAGTTTTCTATTTTCCTGATCATCTTTGGCCCAATTAGTCTACCCATTATTTAAAGTAGAACTTTGAACCCTCCAACTGTTATTCCTCATTTGTCTATTTTTTTAATTCTGTCAGGTATTCTTTATGTATTGTGGGATGATATTATTAACTGAACAAATACTTACAATTTTTTTATCTCTTTAAACATTATAAAAGTTCTTATCATTATGAAAGTTCTTTTATCTCTAGTAGCACCTTTTGCTGTAAAGTGTATTTTTTTCTGATATTAGTACATCCCCTCTGGTTTTCTATTGTCCTTCCTTCCATAGGATATCTTTCTCCATGCTTTTATTTTTAACCTATCTTTCAATCAAACTTTAGACAGCATATCAATAGACCTTCTTTGTTATTGTTACCCATTCTGATAATAATCTCCCTTGTGATGTATTGTTTATACCATGAAAATTTAATATTGTTATTGATAGTTATATATATATATATATATATATATATATATATATATATATATATTTATATATATAATTTTACTTTTGATTTTTGTGTTTCATTTCTGTTTTATTTCCACTCTCATTCTGCTTTCTTTTACATTAGTAAATATTTTGTAGTATATCATTTTAATTCCTTTCTTATTTCATTATATTTTTGTGGCAAAATATACACATAATTTGCCATTTTAACCCATTTAAAATGTAATTTTTTATGGTATTACTTAAATCCACGAAATTGAACAATCACCACCAACCTCTACTTTCAAAAATTTTCCTACTCCTGGAGGGGAGGAAAAGGGGAAATACTGAGGGATGATACTGGACAAATTATATTGCTATATTGTGTGTATGTACAAATATGTAACAAGAAACCCCACCATTATGTACAATTATAATGCACCAATAAAACATATGGGAAAAAAATGTTCCTCATCCCAAGGAGAAACTCTGTACTCATGAAACAATAAGTCTGTATTCCTTTCCTTCTCCTACCCTTGTAACCTCTGATTTACTTCTTATCTATGAATCTGCCTGTTATCAATATTTAGTAAAACTGGTATCATACATTTGCCAACTTTATGGTTTATTTCACTTAATACAATGTGATCCATGTTGGATCATGTAATAAAACTTCATTCATTTGTACATTGTTTATTGTAACTGTACAGAAATAGAGTCAAATTTTGCATGTTGATTTTATATTCTGCAACTTTGCTAAATTCACTTATTGTTTCTAACAGTTTTTTCTCCCTGGATTCTTTAGAGTTTTCTGTAATTAAAGCAACATAATCCAAGAATAGAGACAGTTCTTTTCTTTTGAATTTGGATGACCTTTTTCCTTTCTTGCTTAATTGCTCTGGCTAGAACACCCTGTACTATGAAAAGTATTAGGCATATCTGTCATGCTCCTTATCTCAAAAAAGAAACTTTAATCATGGAGTAGGATGGTGGCTGTAGGTTTTTCAACATGTGGCCTTTATTATATTGAGAAAGTTTTACTCTATTCCTAGCTTATTAAATATTTTATTATCATGAAAGATTTTTTTTCAATGTTTCTTTAACATCAATTGAGATGACCACATCTTTTTCCTCTTTCATTCTGTTAATCTTGCGTAACACATATTGAAATGCTGAACCACTCTTGAAATCCTACACTGTATATCCCAGTAGGTTTTGATGTATAATCCTTTTACTGTGCTTCACCATAATTTTTAATTTTCTTTTCTTCAGTGATTGCTCTAGGGCTTACAATGTATATCTTGTAAAAATCTGCTTTATATCTACACTAACTTAATTCAAGGGTGATATAGAAATGGTACTTCCGTATAGTTCTATTACTTCTACCTGTTTTGAGCTACTGTTATACTAAACCCAACATTCCATTGCTTTAATTAGAAACTCTGTGCTCATTTAATTAGGATTTTATAAATTTGGTGTCTTTTAAAGCAGCTGAGAAAAGAAAAAAGTATGTATTCACATTAACTCTTTGTGTTCCTGAAATCCATGTTACCATCTAGTCTCACTTCCTATTCCCTTACAGCTTTCCTCCCACCTGTCTTCTCTGTGCTGTTACTTTCAAATACACATCTCCAGAGCCAACAACGCACACACACACACACATATTCATTCTCATTATGGTTTTATATAATTTCTTTTTTATATCAGTTAAAAAAAGTAAGGATAAGAAATATACCACTATACTCTTCTTTATAACTACCTATAAACTTATGCTGGTGTGTGTATGTGCACCCAAGTGCACAGGTATAGACTGTCTTATTGCCCAGGGTTACTTTCTTTCAGCAGGAAGAACACCCTTTGCTATTTCAGACAGGCCTGCTGGCAGTGAGTTCTCCCCTCCCCCACCTTCTCTTTGCAATTTTCTCTTAAATCTGTGAATACCATCATTTTGCTGTCATTTTTTTGAAACTTAGATTTGCTGGGTATAACTTTCTTGGATGACAAGAAATTTGTCATTTGACAAATTTGACATTTTTCAGTGTGTTATTTCCCTGATTTGTGGCTTCCAATGTTTCTGATGAAACATCAGCTGTTCATCTTGGTGTTTGCTTTTACACCAAGGAAAAAGGAGCTTTCTAACAAATTTCTTTTTTGACTTCAGCTTTCAACATTTTTTGCCAAGGTGTGCCTGGGTATGGATTTTCTTATGTTTATCCTACCTGGATTTCATGTGTGTGTGTGTGTGTGTGTGTGTGTTAATGGTTTTCAAAAATTAGGGGATATTTTCAACTATTATTTGAAAAGTAATTTTTTTTCTGATACTTTCCTTCTGACATTCAATTACATTATATGTTGGTATGCTTAATGATGTCTGACACTTCTCTGATGATCTGTTCGGTTTTTATTTATTCTGTTGTTTAAGATAGATAATTTCTATTGACCCATCTTGAAGTTTGCTGACTCTTCTGCTGATTCCAATCTATTGTTGAGTGTCTGTATGAATTTTTCATTTCCATTATTGTACATTATAATGCCAGAATTTCTATTTATTTCTTTTTTATAAATATTTGTTTCATCTACTGTAATTCTATATTTGATGAGAACTGTCATATTTTCTCTCACTCAAGCATGGTGTCTTTGTCTACTTGGGCTGCTGTAACAAAACACTATAATCAAGGTGGCTCAAACCATTATTCTTTTCTCACTCTTCTGGAGGTTTGGGAGGTTATCATCAAGGTGCCAGAGATGTGGTGTGTGCTGCGAGCCCTCTCTGTGGTTGGCAGATGACTGCCTCTTGATCTCTTCCTATTATAAGGATGCATATATTAGCAGAGGGATCTCCATCCTCACAACCTCATGACCTAAAGCTAGGCCCCGTCTCCACATAGCATAATGTTGGTGATGAGGGCTTCAGCATATGAATTAAACATTCCTATGTTCATTCACTCCATAACATATAGTTACTTTTATTTCATTGCACATATTTCTAATAGCCGCTTTGGAATTCCTGCTTGCTAAGCCTGACTTTGGGAATCTCTCAAAGGCAGCTGTGTTTTTCTGCCTTTTGCCTCCTATATATGGAGAACACTCTTATTTCATGTCTCATGACTTCTTATTTTGGTTGAAAATTTGATATTGCAGATAATATTGCAACAATTCTAGACATGGATCCTCCCCAGAGCTTGCTGTTTGGTTCTTTTCTTAGTTTAGTGATGTGCCTGGACTATTTTAATGAATTCTGCATCCCCGAGAGGCACAAACTGTTCCACCACTGATCCAGTTAATCCAGACCCTCTGCCGGATGAGTCCATGGAATAGCACTTCTGCACTAACTAGGAAGAGGACCACTTTAGGATCAGCTCTCCTTCAAGATCAGAACTGAGATATTTCCTTTTGTGCCAGAGATATTCTTCAAACTTACTGTTCACCAGAAAATGAAATCTTTTTTTTTTTTTTGTTTTTCTGGTGATATGGAGGTGAACCCAGGTCCTCACACATGGTAGGCAAGGATTCTACCACTGAGCTGCACCCTGAGTCTTTCAGAAAATAAAATCTTAAGAAGGGTGATATCTATGTTGTTCCAAGAGAAAGAAGATGGAAATATTTTTAGCTTCTCTTAAAACTTTTTACAAAAAGTTGACATTTTAATTTTACATCAGATTTATTCCAAAAATATGTTTAGTGTTCACACACACACACACACACACACACACACACTCACATCCATCCATTTATAAATAAAAGAAAGATGTTGAGAGGTGATCATTGTCTTGGAGTACTACGCACTCTTTGTATTTCCTTAAAATACAAAGAATTCCCTGAAAATCTGGATTATTCTTACTTAGGCTAAGAAAGTAATTATAACTTACCCTCTAGTCACTGGAGGGCGGGCCATTTCTTATTCACCTATAACAGAGTGTCTATATGCAATATAATTTAGGTTATGAAATGGCATTCAAATTTAACTTTGCCAATGAGTGCTGCAAGTTATTTGGAAGCCCACACTGTGACCATGAAGAAGTGGTCACCCCTGACTAAAGCCGACCATCAGACGTGAGAAGTGTTCAGTATCCCTATTAGAACGATATGATTTCTTACCACAGATAGACACTAATTATAACTTCTCCAAGAGGAAAACCAGAAAACTTATGAAGGTGCCTTTTGGAAAATTTCTGTGACTTCTATGTAACTGATTCTTTTGAAAGGCAAACAATTTTTGTAGCAATTAAAGCCTATTATATAGCTAAACATAATGTGTGTGTGACAGCCAAGAAACACCTGAAGATACAAATTTAGCTTTGATGAATCAACATTCTAAGAGTTTCCATAGAAGTATTACAAATGTAAGTATATTTAAGAAGTCAATTCAGCATACTTAATACTTAATACCTTCTGCCTTCAAAAGATGAGTTGTACCTAAGCAGAAGCTGCCTGATACACCACCAAGTTCCTCTAAGAACATAACATCTTACAGGAACGCATCTGTTTGGTGCTATTAATGACAAGTCAGTATTTAATGTTTAAATATGCATTTCCCCTCCTAGTTAATATATTTGTTTTCTATTTAAAGGTAATTTAAAACTTATCCTTACATCACATCAAATCATTGCAATGAACAACAATGATGCTTGGATGATCTTAAAATCAGAACAACCCAAAGGCAGAGTTTGGAAAATCATTTGGAGCCTTGATCAGAAGACAGGAGTAACACAGAGATTTTCCAAAGAAGGAATCCAGTGAGGATGGATATTCAATTGCACAATCTTAGGTTTTCAAAATTGGTACTCTCCTAAATTCAGTAGAGAGATGGGGGTCTGAAATGACTCTATTTCTAATAATGGCAAATCTTACCCTTGCTTCACGGTGTCAGATGCCAGAGGTGTCCCTCAGAGGCTGTAGGCTCCCCCCACTTTCTCTAAAGTCCCATCCCTGGCCTCACTCACCGTGGGAGCAGAAGGGGCCCTCGTAGGCGGAGGCCGAGCAGTCGCAAGCCACCCCTTTGAGCCGTTCTCGACATCTCCCCTCATTGCGACACAAGTGTCCGTAGCTGCCGCAGTGTCCCGCACACCCTGGCTCCACTCCTGGTGTCACTGTGGCTCTTTCCTCCAGGTCCAGGGCCATCCCATTCAGCTGCAGGGACCGAATGCACCCCAGGAAGCCCCTCTGCCTGCTGGCCGTCCCACCTACAAGGGAAACACTGCAAATAGAAATGTGCTCCTTGGTATTTTATCCAGGATATTTTGTCCACGTTAAAGTCAGGCTTTAGGGAGAGTGGCAAAAATTGCAAATTGTTGAACATACCGTGAGTATATAAAATTTTAAAAATATAAACTTGTATCAGATATCACGAAACCACAAAAGACATCGGATAAAACCTCCTTCAACAACGTTTAGATGTAGTAAGATTGGCAAATACTCGTTCTAAGACCATTTCTTTAATTTCACCAAATATAGATCACATCAATCCTATTTTGCTTATGTTTATCAACAGTGATGTAGATTAGAACGGTTCTGGATGGACTTCCAAAACATTTACAAGAATAAAAATAGATGTAGTTAAATTTCATATGTGGATGATTGCTCGAAATCAAGAATGAAAAGATACTGAGAAGCAAAGAAAGAGAAGCCCAAAGGGTGACACCATACCAACAGGCACCAACAGCTGACCCCTACTCCATCCACTCCTTTCTGAGGACACAGTGGTAAGTCTTTACTGAATAATATGCACATGCACATCTGATCACATCAACCTTCAACACTAAAGAATCTGTTCAGAGAAGTTGGCAACATTTATGTCAGGATAGACGTGGATTCGAAGGTAATAATAACAACCATTATATTATTATGAAAGAATTCCAGGAATTACCTGTGAAATGTGGATTCTTAAGCCTCCACCTAGATATTCTGATTCAGTGGACCTGCAATGGGGATCCCAATTCTGAATCTTCTTCTTCTTTTTTTTTTTTTTTTTGCAAGGAGGGGGGAGGGAGGAGGTACTGAGGGTTAAACTTAGGGGTACTTTACCACTAAACTACATCCCTAGAACTTTTATTTTATTTTATTTTTTATTTTGAAACAAGCTAGGTCTCACTAAGTTACTCAGGGTCTTGCTAAGTTGCTGGCCTTGAACTTGTGATCCTCCTGCCTTGGCCTCCAGAGTCACTGGGATTATAGGTGTGCACCACCACACCTGACCCAAATCTGAATTTTTAACCAGCTTCATGGGTGACTCTGATGATTTCTCCACCACTGTTTTATAAACCTTGCCTTAATATGAATGTTTATTCTAGGCAAATATTTATGTTGATTTTGTTCCTAGGATTTCCCTTAAATAATACTAAAAATTGTAAGTAAGAAAATAAAGTTTCTTAATTTAACTCCTGCTAAGTTTGTATCTGGAAAATACCCCAAGGGCCCATGTGGCAAAGGCTTGGTCCTCAGCTTGCCACCTGGAGCTCCTTGGGAGGTTTTAAGTCCTTAGGGGTGTGCCCTTAAAAGGACTGTAGGACCCTCATCTCCTCCTTTTTCACTTTTGCTTCCTGGCCATGAACTGAACATTTAGCTCTGCCCCCAGCTCCCCACCTCCACCAGAGGCCCCAAAACAATGGGACCACCTGGTCATGGGTCAAAACTTCCAAAACTGAGGGTCAAAACCTAATCCTTTTTTTCTTTATAAGTTGCTTAATTTGGGTATCTGTTACAGTAATAAAAAGCTGACTAATGCAGTGATATGTCAGGTAGTTTTGTGGTTTCAAGTCCTTCAAAGAAGATTCATCTTGCCCTAATGTAAGAACCACCTATGCTTGAAGTTATATTTTATGGAGTCATAGTACATAAACTCCTGCATGTGTGAAAGTCACACACACACACACACACACACACACGAAGACTTACACACATTAGAATTCAGTGGTATAGCACTTAGTACCTGGAAGCTGTATGAATCTTCCTGTAAAGCAGGCTGTGAGATAATTTCTGATTTAGTCCAATTTCTAATTGGAGCCGTGTCCTTATTTGCTTCATCGTGCATAAGAAATAAACAAGTGAGCACTACTACCTCAGTGTGCTTGGTTTTTACATTAGAATGGAATTGTTTGGAAAGGAATATGGCAAAGTATATTTTTGCCCTTGGGGTAAATAAACAATGATAAAACCATCAATGGGCAAGCTAAAGGAAAGACGTCCATCACCCAGGGCTGACCTCTCTATACAAACGCTCTGCAGGAATAAAGGAGCAAATCTGTGGTCTGTTTTTAAGCAGACAGTGGATGACTTTTGTCCACGGATAAGATAAACTTTCTACTGGAAGTGAAAAGGGAAGAAGTGGGTACAAGTGGCTAATGGTCACACAAGTCGTGTTGATCAGACCTAGTGGTCACAAATGCCAACCGTCTGTAACGTGAGCTGTTCAAGCCTGGGCATCAGAGATCCCGGGGCTGGATTCCTTTCACTGGTTGTTACTTGACCTCTTTCAGACGTGATGATCTCACCTGGAAACAGGTGACGATAAAACCTACAAAATGAGTTACCTAATAAGAAGCCCTGCACCGCTCCAGAACCTACAAGGTTATCAATAAACAGCGCCAACGGTTAGCTGCTGCTTGCATTTACCACTAAAAGTACTCCCACCATTGTGACTGTCTGCTGGCGCCCTCTGCGGTCCCACCAAGTTCAGGGGTGGCCACGGCACTCACCAATGAAGAGCTGGCTGTTGAGCTGCAGGCGCACGTGCCCGTCCGCAGGGGCCGGCTGTGTCTTCCTGGGGAGCTGGTCCACCTGCAGCGAGGCTCCCTTGACATTCCTCTCTGCCCTCACGTGGTGCCACCGATTGTCATTAAAGGGGGTGGGTGACCGCACCGTGACCTCACAAGGTCCATTCCCCACATCAAAGGAAAAGGTCACTTCTGTGGGAGCTAAAAATATCATATATGAATATTGCCCAAGTTCATTTCCAGGGGAGTACTGAGTCGAGTCAGGGAAACATCATGGCGTGCTCTTTACAAAAGGGGACAAAGGTATCGATGCAGACATGTGACTCGAGTTGGGGAAGGGGGGCAGGAGAAATTGGTATCCTGGAGGATAAAAACAAAACCACACTGATTTTAACATATTCATTTTGAGTTTAATACTTAACGCACTCAGTTCTAGTCAGTAGATATGTACCCCTAGAGAGAATAAGAAACACAATTTGTTTTGTATCTGTAAGTAGTTTTACTCAAAAGTGGTTCAAAGTCTCCTCTAATTTTAAAACCAAAAAAAAATGCAAATTTTTACAGTCATAAATTAAGCTCTGAGTACATGAAAAAAAATCTGTCTGATCAAATATTTTAGGAAACAATTTTTTGAGTTTGGTTTAAAGTTCTGACTCTAGATGGCAATGGTCCAGGGAAAGCGAAACAATTTTATGGATTATTGTGTACTTTATGCTTCATGGTTTGACCCTTAAAAAGATTGACTAAAATTATAGAACTTTTGTAGTTAAAAAATAAATATGGTAAGAATGACACTATTTAAATTTTTGTTTAGTCAGTTTTCAATGCCAAGTAATGGGATCCTGTGACTTGTCCTGGGGGGGAGTGGGGGTCACTCACTCTGCAGCTCTATCCTGATGAAGTCCGTGATGCCCAAGTTCTCCATAAACACACCAGAGAAAACTGTGGTCTTAAAAAAGAACTGTACATCGGCAGTGAGTTCTCCATGGAAAGTGGGGAAATGAAGGTATGAGGTCTCAGTGTTGAAGGAAGCCGAATTCCAAAATGACTCTGTTTATGCCAAAAAAAAAAAAAAGGAAAAAAGAAAAACTCATGAATCATTTTTACTGAAATTTCTAGAAGCCTTCCCTGCCTCACTGAGTGTTCTCATTCATGCCGTATCATCAGGACATGGCATTCGGTGATTATTTTAAGGGTTAGAATTCTGTGTTGAGAAAAGACTGAGGGTAAGCAAAGCAAAAGTGTGACTGATTGTCACACCAACAACATGGGCAAGAGATGAGGGAGAAGGTGACCAGGGAGGTGGAAAGACAGGGGTAGGTTGCAGGATCATTTTCAAGTTCAAGTCAACAGAATTCACTGCTAAATTGGATGCAAGTGGAAGAGAGTCTGAAATGACACCAAGAGTTTTGGGAATAATTTTGAAGAAGCAAGTTTGACAGGGATACATTACGATTGAAATCTCTATTCGGCACCAGGTGGATTTTTCGAGGCAGCAGTTGGTCTACGACTCAGGAAGCCAGATCATAGAATCTTGCTTTCCATAATTTTTGCAAACTAACAATAAACAAATACAATCCATCGTCCTAGTAATGCCCTTCATAGCAAAAACAAAAATCAGAACAAAACAAAAAACTCCTTTTTTTTTTCCTTCTGGCCCAGAATTTAATCCAGGACCACACTTCATATTTATTTCTCAAGCCTCTCTAGTGCCCTTCATTCTAGACTTTTCTTGTCTTTCATGAATATGACTGCTATGGTTTAGACATGAGTAGACCCCCCAAATCTCATGGATGAGACAATGCAAGAATTTTCCGAGGTGAAATGATTGGGTTATGAGAGACTTTAGCTAATCAGTGGATTAATCCATCCATATGGATTAACTGGGTAATCATAAGCTGGTTGGGTGTGTCTCAAAGAGGTAGATCACTAGGGGCGTGGCTTTGGGATTGATATTTTGTCCCTGGGAACCAGGGCCTTCTCTCTACTTTCTGATTCCCATGTCCTGACCTTCTTTCCTTCTCCACGCCTTTCTACCATATTGTTTCACTTCATCTCAGACCCAGAGCAATGAAGTGAGCTGTCTGTGGACTGAGATCTCTGAAATGAGCCACAATAAACTTTTCCTCCTCTACGTTGTTCTTGTCAGGTCTTTTGATCACAGTGATGCAAAGCTGACTAAAATAATAACCTCTTATTTTTTCATATTTTCTGGAGTATTTTTCAGTCTATTTGTAAAATGTTCCTCAATTTGGATATATCTGACACTTGTCATTAGATTAGTCTTGTGCATTTTTGTCAAAAATAGCACAGAAAAACAAAAGGAGTAAAGAAAGAGCCTTCAGAATGGGAGAAAATCTGCCAGTTACTCTTCTGTGAGGAGGTTACTAGCCAGGATATATAAAGATCTCAAAAAACACCCCAAAATTAACTCACTCAATAAATGGATAAAAAATCTAAATAGACATTTCTCAAAAGATGAAATACAAATGGCCAACAAATGTATGAGAAAAAAATGCTCAACATCCTTAGCAATCAGAGAAATGCAAACCAAAACTACATTGAAATTTTATCTCACCCCAGTTAGAATGGCAATCATCAGGATTACAAATAATGGTAGTTGCTGATGAGAACATGTAGGAAAAAGGTATATTCATAAATCATTGGTAGGACTGCAAATTAGTATGACCACTTTGGAAAGAAGTATGGAGATTCTTCAAAAGATAGGAATGGAACCATCATATGACCCAGCTATCCTGCTCATTGGTATTTATCCCAAAGAACTAAAATCAGCACACTGTAGTGACACATGTATACCATGTTTAGACAGCCCAATTCACAAGAGTCATGCTATGAATCAGCCTGGGTGCCCATCAACAGACAAATGGATAAAGAAAATATTTTATATATATATATATATATATATATGAATGTACATATATATTCACAATGGGGTTCTACTCAGCCATAAAAAAGAATGAAATTATGCCATTTGATGGCAAATGAATGAAATGGAGAACATCATGCAGAGTGAAATAATCCAGGCTCAGAAAGTCAGGGGTCAAATGTTTTCTCTCAAATACAGAAATTAGAGATAAAAAGGGAATGAAAATGGGGATCTTATTAAAATAGAAGGGAAACAAGAAGAGGATAGGCAGGGGAAAGGGGGAGAACTGGAGATGACGGTCAAATTATGCTAGGTATGTTTATGAATATATTGCAATTAATTCCATTCACATATAATTACAACTCATAATTAAAAAACAATAAATAAGCACAAAGACCAATGAAGTAGAGGTAGGGGATCAAGGGGAGGGAGGAGGGGAGGTAAAGGAGACACACTAGGGATTGAAATGGATCTAGTTAAGTTATATGCATTAATGAATGCCAACATGAATGTCACTATGATGTAAAGCTGTAGTGCATTAATAAGAACATTTTTTTTCAAAAGCAGAGAAGTGATGCTCTGTCCTTCGGAGTGTATCACTTGCACTGTGCTAATGTGTCCCACTACTTGCCATGTTACTTTAATTGCTTTCTGCTATGGTATCTGTCATTGCTCCCATATAAAGTCAATATTTTTCTCTTTGTGATTTGAAACTATTTGGACATCTAATGGCCTTTACATATCCTGGTCCACTTTTCCATCCAGTGGTTTTATAGCAGATTGATGGTCCTTGAATTGTGATGATACTGGTGATGTTCCATCATTCCTTGACATCATGCTACTCTGTTAGGAAGGGCTTGTTTCTGGACCTCCTATTTGTTTTTTTATCCATTTCAATTTTTTATCTAGCATCACTCCTGGATCCCTATTGTTATAAATTGTTTATAATCTACTACTATCACTGATTTCAAGGCTTACGCTGTCCCAAATCAGGTCAGAGGGAGCCTTCTCAAGACCCTTTGACAAGAGCGGTTGATTGGACACAGTGCAATTTTTTGAGCAATTATTTTTATATAGCAGGACCATCTGGGCTTATCCTCTACTTTCTCTGTCCCATCTCTGAAATCAGTCATTTTCCCAAGGAGTGGTGGTTTCTTTTCATGGAGAAGGATAGAAATGACATTCAGAAGTCAAGATATTAAGTCACATGCTTTTATCTCTTTGCTACTAAGGTGCCATGACTTCAAGGCCCTCTCAGTAGTCAGATGCAGGGAACAGGCGTATCGGCACATGCACCTACAGCACACACACACAAACACACCTTTTTGTGTATTTCATATTATCTACTGTGTATATGTTAAAACCCTTGAGTTCATGCTGATACCTCCTTTTCTAGCCTAGTACCACAGGGTGCTAGAATTCGGTCTTCCTTCTTTCCACATGGGTGACCCCATTCTCAATGGGGTCACTGAGAAACATCTGGTTTTGTAATCCTCAGTGGATTTTCATGTTTCATGTTTCCCTTTCCCCATGGCCTGGCACAGTAGGGCCCACCATTCTGGGCTGCTTAAGGGAAGCTAAAAGAACCAACTGAAACTGTTTTAAAGAAAGTAGAGATGAAGAGAAAGAAGGAGGAGGAATTGGGGTGGGGGTGTCAGCCCTATTTTTAATTTTATTTAGAGACAGGGTCTCACTGAGTTGCTTAGCACCTCACTTTTGCTGAGGCTGGCTTTGAGCTTGCAATCCTCCTGCCTCAGCCTCCCGAGTCACTAGGATCACAGGTGTACGCAGCTGTAGAAGGAATTTTTGAAGAAAGAATTATTTTGACCATCACCTCACCCTCTGAAGTTTTGTTGAGAAATTGACATGAAGGAAATGCCCTGAGTCATCTCAGGGTTACACCCACATTCGGAGAGAAGTGGAGGGCTGGTATGAGTTGCCAGAGAACAAAGAATCCAGAAGAAAATTTAAGTGCAGAATTCTTACAGACCAGTGCTCGAGATCAGAACCTCAACAAACAGGAACCATGGCTCCAAATGTGAAGGAGCTAATACTGAAGTGTAAGAAGAACTGGACGCCTGTGGCATCCTGATATGAGTATAGGATACACATCATGTTGTGATGGGACCGCAGAACAGGACACTTGTAATTGTTGAAGATAAAGCAGCACAGAGAGCAGTTGATCAGACACAGTGCAAGAGACCCCTCCTTCATCAGCCTGAGACATGGGGAAAAAAAGTGATAGAATGACAGACCCTAGACCTGAGATCACAGTTCAGAAGGGACAAGAAAGATGCATCAGATTGTGAGGAGCTGGATGTGAAGAAGATTTGAACCACATCATGTATCAATCAATCAAATGGATCAGAGCTGCCCACTACACACCAACAAGTTAAAAAGCTATAACAAAGTAAGGAAGGGAGCGAGCGTGGCACGTGTATGGAGGAATGCTTAGATAAGTGCATTGAAGAGGAGACAGACAGAGATGAAAGGAACTGGAGGACAGAGGGCATGCATGGAGTAAAGCTGGCACATGTCTCAGATGCAGAGAATCCAACACATGAAACACAAGGCATTCAAAGCATAATAAAACCATTCTTCTTAAACAAGAACAAAGTATTGAGATCAAAAAGCACAGTGGTTTCAGAAAAATTAATAGAAAATGACTAAGACTCAGGCCTATTCTGGGTGATGAATAAGATTGAAGGGGGACAGGTCAAGAACTGGGGAGCGTCTAAGGTCTCACCCCACTGCAGCTGGCCACAGTTTCCCAGAGCCTGAGAGAAAACACACTTTTCTGGGTTGGAGTCAAAGGACTTTATTATTTATATCACCATGAGATGTGTGAGCATCTCAGTGTGAGCATGGTGGCCTTGCTCTGAATCTCACAGAGCCATGTGATTGGTGTGTGATGAGGATCCCAGGGACAGGAGCCCAGAACTTTCTGAGCAAGCAGCAAACGGCACAGTGCCCTTCACTCTGGGGACTGGTGAATCATTGGTGGTGATGATGTACTCTCCTGGAGCTACTCTGTTTCCCACACATGCACAGAAACTGCCTGGTATTAGGGGACAGCAATGACACACACTCTGACACTCTCAGCAAGGACATGCAGGGATGCTCAGGGTCCACATTGGATGACCCCTCAGCAGCACCCTCCTCATATTAAGGGAGAGAAGTAAAAATCAATACTCCAGACGTCTGCCCAGCAGCATACAATGCTTATGAGTAAAAACATTGGAACTTTCCCCTAAGGAAAGAGGTCTCTATATCAAGCCACTAGCTGCTCGTGTACTAGGGCAACAGGGGATCCTCACAGGTTTGAAAGAATTCTGGGACTGTGGAGGCAATGAGCCCTGAGCAGTGAGGAAAACCTTGACCATGGCGTTCAACCTTGAATGAAAATCCCGCAGGGAAAAACACTATCTAATACCAGAGCCCATGATGGTGATGTGGTGTGTACAGGGTCTGAGAAAAGAAAGTGGCATTCACTGTTTTTATACCGTTAACGGTGTCCTGGAAATATAAGGGCAATCAACCAACATTCTCAATCATTCACAAATTTGGGAAATAGTTTTCTTAAGGACTTTTCCGGAAGAAAAACAATAAATGGACAATTAACCAGTCAACCAAATAATATGTTAAAATAAAGAGAAGTCATTCTCTGTAAACTAATACAGGGTGAGCATCCATAATCCAAAAATCTGAAATCTAAAATGTTCCGTATCCAAAAGTTTTTGACGCCACAAGAGGGAAATTCCACACCTGGCCTCGTATGACAGGTCACAGTCAAAATGCACGTGCACCAAAAATATTGTATAAAATTACCTTTGGGCTATTTGTATAAGGTTTACACGAAACACGAGTGTCATTTAGACTTGTGTTCCATCTCCAAGAGATCTCATTAACGCGTAGGCAAACATTTCCAAGTCTGAAAAACACCGCTTTCCAAAACATCTTGGGTCCCGAGCATCTCGGGTGAGAGAGATTTAAATAGCTGTTCACTCGTGAAATGTTGATCTTTAGCACAGACGCAGTGCTTTTCCATCCCTGTGCTCATTATGATGTGGATTTAGAATGTCCCCCAAAGCCCATGGGTGCCCAGCCTGTGTCACTATTGGGAGGTGGTAGAGTCTTTAGTGGGTGAGTCTAAGTGGAGGAGGTTGGGTCATATAGTGTGTGCCCATGAAGGGGCACTGGGTCCTGGTCCCTTCCTGTCTCTTTGCTGTGCAGCTGTGGCAAGGTGAACACTCCCCTCTGACTCTCTCTCCCACCATGATGCCCTGTGCTGCCACAGGTCCAAGCAAAGGGCCAAGTGTCCATGGACCCAACCTCCAAAACTGTGACTCAGAATAAACCTTTCTCCCTTTAAGGTTTTCATCTCAGATCTTTGGTCACAGCCACAGAAAGCTGAGGAGCACGAGGCTTTCTGATATCTGCTCTGGTCCCAGCACTGCCGTGAATTTTCTCTCCAGCCAAAATAAGGGCACTTACTTAGTTTTTTTAAATAATCAAAGTATGTTATTATAAAGAGAAAGCTTTTTTTCCTGCCAGCACTTACTGTCCCCCTGGCAGAGCAGAGGCCCCAACGTATACACAGCTTCAGAGGGCGGTTGGCCCCTGTCCGTCATCACCACTTGAATGACTGGCAGGTACTCCTTCTGGGAAAGGACTGTGATGTCACTGGTCCTGGAAAACGACAAAGGGACCCTTAAGATGACTCCAGTTCTCTCTCTCTCTCTCTCTCTCTCTCTCTCACACACACACACACACACACACACACACACACACACAGTCACCTGTGATCTCTTATTTGAAACTGACATTTCAGGACTTAATGGAACACTTACAAATATTTTTGGCATTTTGAGAGCACAGAAACTGTTAAAAACTGAAATCAAAGTTTCTCTGTACATGATTGTGACTTTGCAGGCCATGTAGCCTCTGCGACTACTCAGCTCGGCCACAGGCACTAATGATGGGCATGATTGTGGGGTGATCAAAATTTATGGACACTGAAATTTGAACTTCATAACAAGTTTGATGTGTCATAAAACACTCTTCCTTCCAACTACTTAAAAATGTAAAACATTTCTTAGTTCATGGGCCAGACAATAACAGGTGAGTGGGCAGACGTGACTCACAGCAGTAGTTTAGCGACTCCTGATCCATTTGCAATTCTTGAACTCACCGAACACAGAGAATAAAAGGGGCAAATCAAGAAGGGGGCTCATTTTGCAAGCACCGGATAGTATTTTCAAGATAATCAAGCATATAAAACTGCTCTTTAAAAATTAGTCTCAGGATACTACTCAAGTGATTATCAATTACAGATATAAATAGTTACAGATTTAGATCTTCACAGAATTTTACCATTAAATATTTGAAATCCTTTTATGGTTATTGGGTATTTCTTTCCTCAATAACTTTGTAAATTGTAAAATTAAACCTACAGATCAAAATGAATTAAATAGAATACCTTTATAAGTAATACACAAGTTAATGTATGTGAAAGTTCTGTGAGATGCAGAACCCAGCTATCCAGTGGACAAACATCGATCAGGCCCTGAGCGAGGCACTGAGGACACATGGGAAAATACAGTGTGTGCCCCTAGTACACAACCCACCGGGCACTATGTTCCAACCATAGTTATGGCCATCAACATCTTCCTACGTGTGAGTGACTGAGAAATACAAGCAGGTCTGCAGCAGGAGCTGGGAGGGCCTGGGGTCCTGGTCACAGCTGTGCCACTCCTATTCTCTCTGTCCAAAATAATGGCATTCATCTCTTCTTTTGCAACCTGTTTATGTTTATTTTGTGACACTCAGTTGTGTACGTATTCTGATTCAGAGACAAGGCACCCTTACTCTGGTTCCTCGTCCTGCTCTAGAATCTCTATAGAATCTAATAAATACTCTTGTCCTTAAGTCACTCATTTCTAAAACCTTCCTTGGCGTGGATTTATGGCCAAAGATCAGAATAATTAATATCAAATCATGTAAATCCTTTCATAGTGGCAAAAAATAAAGTTTTCTTAAATTTTTATTAAAGACTTTAGGTATCAAAGCCTGAAATTGGAAAAGATAGAAATAAAATAAAATGGCTATATTAAGATTCTCATCATGTAAATAAATGAAGTAATCTGTAATGTATAAAAGAGATATCAATTAATGTAAGTCAGGTACTCTGCAATATGTGAAATATTTAGTGATACAGAAAGATTATTTCTCATATCCAGACTAACATCCCATAAGCTTACCTAGTCATTGATGTTTGTGCAAAGGACAGAGCATGAGTTATGAATTGTCACCATCATTTAGCTCCGGAGTGGACTGATGGTTGACAAGCAGAAATGTTCTCCTACGAAACAGGGTAGGTCAGCTTAGGAGGCTGTGTATGAACACAGCAGGCATCAAAACCAGCATCTATGCTGGGAATCATCATCTCATCAAGGTAGTCTAGTAGGGGAGCTGCACTTCTATTAGCTATTTATGAAGGATGCTTGAATTTTAAAAACTCATTTTGCATTCTTGACGTTTAACGCAGCATACAAAAAACTGAGCTGTGTAAGGTGACAGCTTGTGCAGGGCACCTCAGTTGCATTGGAGGAGATACTAAGTCTCCACCTCCCCCATAATTTTGGAAAGCTCCCAGTCAATCATAAAAAAGGCTAACATTTTTTCACCAATTTTTTGTTGGTATAGGCAGATCTCAACCTTTACAGATTTATATAGATTACTGAAGATTTGCCATAGTTACCAGACTTCCTCAAAATTTCTTCAGCAATTGGGACTTGTTTTTTTTTTTTTCTTTTTTCCCTATTATTTTCTGAAATTTATACTACAGGTAAAGTAGTCCTAATTTGAAAACCTAAAATGGGAAAACCTCCAAAACATGAAACATTTTGAGCCCCAACATGATGCCACGGGTGGAAAACTCCACTCAAGACCTTTTGTGATGGTCAAAGTCAAAATGAAGATGCATTAAAAATATTGTATACAGGTCCCTTTAGGCTGCGTGTATACAGGGTTCAGACTTGAGTTTCATCTCTGAGATATCTCATTAAGTATTTGCAAATATTCCAGATTCCCCAAATCCAAATTCTGACACACTTCTGATCCCAGGCATTTCAGATAAGGAATACTGAGCCTCTAGGTAGTGTAAACATGGGAAGAGTATATTTCTAGATATGATAACCCCTTCCAGTAGTATTAAAAATTCAGTAAGAGAACTTTCAAAGACTTTTTGCTTGAAAGTTCCCATTGTTCTAGAAATTATGCTTTCCTAAGAAATGCCATGACTTCTAAGAACTACTATTAATTGTTTACCAAGAGATTTGATTTGATGCAAAGTAGAGCTATAAATTTGGGAGGTTGTTGAAAAAGCCAAAAAGGAAAAATGTTGAGTCCACCTCAACATTTAATAACTAGATTAGTAATAAAATACATATCATGGTCCACAACTAATCTTAAAATCTTTCCAGTTTTTCAACTTCTGTTTCATTGACCTCTTGCCTCTCTCTTGGCCAATTCAGCCTGCATTAATTAATTACTATCATAATACAATTTGTCTTGATATGTGCTAGGACCCATCTCATCATCTTGATCTTCATCTTAAAAATCATCTTGCTTATTCTTTGAGTTTCCATATGGATTTGAAAATCCACTTGTTGCAATCCACGCCAATCAGTAAAACACTTGGCATTTGTTAGAAATCCCACTAAGTTTATAGAATAATTTGGAAAAATGACATCTTTAAAAGAGGGCTTCTCAATAGCAGTGTTTTTGACATTTGGACTGTATAGTTTTGCTCCATGAGGGTTGTACAGTGCATTGTAGAATATTTAGCACTTTTTTTTGTACTAGGGATTGAAACCAGGGGTGCTTTATCACTAAGTCACATTCCCAGCCACTTTTATATTTTATTTAGAGACAAGGTCCCACTGAGTTGCTTAGTGCCTCGCTAAGTTGCTGAGGCTGGCTTTGACTCCTGATCCCCCTGCTTCAGCCTCCCAAGGCCTTTAGCACTTACTGAAGACACAGAAACATTCCTTCCTTTGTGACCACAAAACTGTCTTCAGATAAAACAAGCATTCCCCGGGGGGATCAAAAGCATACTTGATTGAGGACTACTGCTTTAAGCTACTACTGACTCATAGAATCTATGACAGTAGTGAATCAATCTATTTATTTGTCTTCTAAATCTCAATATTTTTTAAGATAAAAGTATTATACTTATTCTAAAGAAATTTACATTATAACATAGCAAATAGTTTTTATTAAGTCTTGCAGTGTTAATTAATTTATGCTTTTATAGATATTCAAGTAATTTCTCAATACTGATTGATCGAAAATTCAGCTTATCAACTGAACTCTCATTCACCCTGATAGTATTTCATTATATCACCTTCAATTTTCTGTGTAGGCAATCATGTCATTGGTAGGTAATGATGGCAGCTTTGTTTCCTTTTTTACAAACTTTTCATCATTTGTTTGTTGTGTGTTTCTGTGTATGTGTGTGGGTGTTTGTAACTGGCATGTGTATGAGCTTTTGTGTTTTCTACAATGAATGGTTGCAATATCAATTTTCTTAGCTTTAGTTTTGAAATACTCTTGCCTGTTTCACTTACTGATTCTCCCTAGTCATGTTGAAATCTTTCAGTGTTTTGAATAATATCTCTATTTCCCTTTGCTTCCTTGCTAATTCTTTCTTGATATACTTTTTTTTCTTGATATACTTCTGATGGTGCATATGAGAGTCGTTGGAGCATCTCATGAACAAATCTCAGCATCATATAGGGTCCAACTTTATCCCCAACGGTGTGGTTGTCTTTGTCTGACCTAATACAGCTACACCTGCTTCCTTTTGATTTGTATTTACCTGGTAAAAATGTCTCACCCTTTTACCTCCAACTTTACTGGGTGCTTATGTTCTCTTCTGTGAACAAGCTATGGTTTCTTTAAAAAATATAATATGATAATGCCTAATGTCTGACTTCAAAATGGACAGAGAGTGCCTCACATTCACTGGGGTTAGTTGCACATCTGGATATGTTTAGACTATCTTATGTTTTGCTTTATATCTGCCCTGAATAATAATTAAACAAAAGTCCTTAGACAAAAATATAAAATAATAATAATAAATATAAAACAATATTATATATAGCTGCAGGGATCATCCTAACTAGCAAAATAACTTATGGATTTTTGGAGAAGTTGAATTCTATGATGTATGTATATTGTAGAGAATGTATAAAAGACTCTTGAACAATGTCTACTTTAAATTTATACCTATAGATTGACTTGGAGCATAGCTTAACATTTTACATTATTAGAGTGCCTTTTACATATGTGTATTTTATGTTAAATGTTTGGTATATTGGAATTACTGTAGAAATTTAATGAAAAAGTATTGCTTTAATTGGTGTGCTATCTAATTATCTTTTTTTTTTCATATACTGCTTTAAATGAGCTCCTGACTACATCAAACAGGAGCTAAATGGGTGGGGGATATAGTTGATTCCTTTTATACAAAACCTCTTGGAGTTCCATCGTGTTAATGGAGTTCCCATGTTAAAGTTTACTCACAAATTCCTAAGAAATATATAGTGTTATCTCCTAAATATATTTAAGACAAAGCTTTGGAGGAATTCACCTTCTGAATTATTGCCATGAGTGCCAGATTGCTCAATTAAACTGAACTTCAGAGAGAAGACACTTGACTTTTAGTGAGTGGGAGACTTACCAAGTACTTCCAATTGAAGAAGAATAAAAAGCACATTATCTGGTATTCGCAGTGAAATAGTGAATCTTTGGTCATACAATTTAATCTTTCGATTAACTGAAGGTATTCCATCCAAACTTATACTTTTAAGTTACTTGAACATCATGTAGTTACTTATTTGTACCGATCTGACTGCTGTGTAATTAACTATGCATAACTGAGGAATAAAAACTACATTTCTGTGCAGGGACAGCATGTGAAAATCACCATTCATCCTGGTCACCGTCACAGCTGCAGTGATACTGAGAGTCCAGGCAGCTCCCCTCTCGTCCACAAGTGCACTTTTGTGCATCTGGCAGAGAACCTCCCCAGTAAGTGTGAGTTCCATTGGTTCTTCTAGCCCACCAGCTCAGTGGGGTTCCATCTGAAAGACAAGTATGAGAAAGGTGACATCTATGTTGCCCCTCCCCCACCCCCCACCCCACCTCCGTCCAAAATAGTTCCCTTTATTCCCAGGTCTAAAATGCAAGTGTGTGTGTGAGTGTGTGTGTGTGTGTGTGTATGTGTGTTTGTGTAAGAGAAGGAAGATACACTTCACTTCAGAAGCTATATTTTACTCCTGCCAATAAAAATGTGGTTTCTCCAAATATATGGGCCAAGCTTCTCCCCTCAGTGTTTCAATATCTAGGCTTAAATAATCCCCATCATCTATTTTTATTTTATTAGGAAATGAGTCCTTAACTTACTTGTACATGGATATCACATATTTTCCATAAAAATAACATTCAAAAAACATTTGCCATCAAAACAAGAGTAAGAGTAATTTATATACCCAGGATGAATCTGTTTGAGATGACAAATGCTCCCAGAGCAAGTTCAATGTCATACAGAAACAATGATCTATCGCCCCACATTTTTTTTTTTTAAAGAAAAGTTGCTATACATTAGGCCTTTGGAAAGGCATGGCACCCTCTGTCAGGACTTCACACATATTTTTGAGATATGTGTTTTTCTTGTATTACAAGGCCTGACTATTTATCTGGAGGCTAAATAAACGCATGGATAGGTCTTCTTCAAGTCTCAAGTGAACATGATGCTGAGAAACCAAGTCTGCCCAGTGCAGATGTTCAGTGCCATCTCCCCAACCCTGGCTGTGGTCAGATGACAGAGCTGGGAGCTATTGCCGCAGTCTGGCTGGGCACAAATCACGAGCCATTCGAGCAGGAACAAACTTTATTTCTGAACTCCACCAGCACACTCCACACATGCTCCCCAGGAACTCTGCGGCTCCTCCAGGAACACCCAACCGGAAATCTCTCCTCCAGCACTTCCCCAACCAATGCGAACTCTTCAGGAATCCCTGCGAGAGCTCAACCGGAACTCAACGGGAACTCAGCGAGAACTCAAAAGTCATCATCTTAATGGCTCGCTGGCATCACCTCTCAACCACTACTTCTGGCAAAAATGCCATGCGTCATCCCCGACTTGGCTGTGGCCCTCAACAAGCTATCTCAGCTGTACAGAACCACATGTTAAGACCAGGCATGCTGTGGGGAGGGGGCCAGGATGCACATGGCAGTGAGCCTGGGATGATTACAGAAGCAGGTGTGCAGGTTAGCCCTCTTAGAGGAAGATGCAGGAGAAGATAAATTGCAGTCATCCCAAAATTAGAGGATGAAGAAAATGGAATTGGATTGCTTCAATCAATTTCCCAAATGTGCTTGATCATTTGGTGCTGTTTTTCAAATTTGCAAGTTGTTATTGTTGGGCCTTGAGTTGAGATCTGGAACTTATCCCAGGTTCTACCTTTAATGCTTAATACAACTCAATTAAGATTCATTTATAGGTAATATCTCTGCATTCATCATCCTCACTTCCACCCTCCCACCCCCAAAAGAAAGGAAATTTAAAAAAACAAAAGCAATCCTGAAAAATTTATAGAGGAGTCAATATCTAGAATCTCTTAAAAATACATTGAAAGCTTGTTACTAGGAAATAAGAGATACTCAGAAAATTTAATATTCTTTTCTCAAAATGCTACTTTGAGAAATGCTACATTACTTCCTTCACCACTACACTTGCTAGATTGAAGAGAAAAATACTCACTATATCCTAGTGCAATTTACCTGCAAATCTCCCTGTAAAGTGGTAAAAAATAAGTTTTTGAGAGATAGTAAATATCTTTGGTTCTGCTCAAATGTCTTAAAGTGTTCTAGAGAACAATCAAAAGACTTCTGGTAAATTTCCAGACTGATGAGGATGGCGTACACTTATCTTTTCCTGCTTCTCCCCACCAAGCACAATGATAAACCCTAGAGATAACACACAAGAAGAACCACAGGAGATTCTGAAAGGAGGAAAAAGGAAGGCTAACTGGTTAGGACCCTGAACTGGAGGGAAATTATCATAGTTCATATAGAATTTCATTACAATTCCCCATTCATGTTAAAATAAAAAGTTTCTGAGAAGGAAGAAAGATGATATGGATTAGAAAAAATTAGCTCTATATAAAGAAAGAAGGAGCATTAAAGAAAGAATAAATGAAGCTAAAATATAATATTTTGACGATCAATTGGGGTTCATCCCAGGAATGCAATGTTCAACATTTGGAAATCAATAAATGTTATTCATCACATCAATAGATGCAGAAAAAGCATTTGGCTAAATACAGCTCCTCCTCATGTTCAAAACATTAGAAAAACTGGGGATAACAGGAACATATCTCAATATCACAAAAGCTATCTATGCTTAGCCCCAGGCCAACATCATTCTAAATGAAGAAAAATTGAAAGCATTCCCTCTAAAAACTGGAACAAGACAGGGATGCCCTCTTTCAACACTTCTATTTAACATGGTTCTTGAAACACTGGCCAGAGCAATTAGACAGACGAAAGAAATTAAAGGGATACAGATAGGAAAAGAAGAACTCAAATTAGCAATATTTGCTGATAATATGATTCTATACTTAGAAAACCCAAAAAATTCCACCAGAAAACTTCTAGAACTAGTAAATGAATTCAGCAAAGTAGTAGGATACAAAATCAACACCCATAAATCAAAGGCATTTCTGTATGTCAGTGACAAATCCTCTGAAAGGTAAACAAGGAAAACTACCCCATTTACAGTAGCCTCAAAAATAAATAAATAAAATACTTGGGAATCAATGAAAGAGGCAAAAGATCTCTACAACAAAAAACACATAACACTAAGGGAAGAAATTAAAGAAGACCTTAGAAGATGGAAAGGGAGATCTCCCTTGTTCTTGGATAGGCAAAATTAATATTGTCAAAATGACCATACTACCAAAAGCACTATACAGACTTAATGCAATTTCAATCAAAATCCCAATGACATTCCTCATAGAAATAGAAAAATCAGTCATGAAATTCATCTGAAAAATAAGAGACCCAGAATAGCTAAAGCAATTTTTAGCAAGAAGAGTGAAGCAGGTGGGATCACTATACTAGAACTTAAACTATACTACAGAGTAATATTAACAAAAACAGCATGATATTGGCATCAAAACAGACTTGTAGATCAATGGTACAGAATAGAGGACACAGAGACTAACCCACATAATTACAGTTATCTTATATTAGACAAAGGCACCAAAAGCGTACATTGGAGAAAAAAGATAGCCTCTTCAACAAATGGTGCTGGGAAAACTGGAAATCCATATGCAACAAAATGAAATTAAACCCCTATTTCTCACTATGCACAAAACTCAACTCAAAGTAGATCAAGAACCTAGGAATTAAACCAGAGACACTATGTCTATTAGAAAAAAAGTAGGCCCAAATCTCCATCATGTTGGATTAGGCCCTAACTTCCTTAATAAGACTCCTGTAGTGCAAGAATTAATATCAAGAATCAATAAATGGAATAGATTCAAACTAAGAAGCTTTTTCTCAGCAAAAGAAACCATCAGTGAGTTCAATAGAGAGCCTACAATTTGGGAAAAAATTTCTACTACACACACATCAGATAGAGCACTAATCTCTAGGACATATAAAGGACTCAAAAATCTTAACACCAAAAAAACAAATAACCCAACCAATAAATGGACCAAGGACCTGAAGAGACACTTCTCAGAGGATGATATACAATGAATCAAAAAATATGTGAAAAAATGTTCATCATCACTAGCAATTAGAGAAATGCAAATCAAAACTACTCTAAGATTTCATCTCACTTCAGTCAGAATGGCAGCTATTAAGAATATAAACAACAATAAGTGTTGGTGAGGATGTGGGGGGGGAAGACACACTCATACATTGCTGGCGGGACTGCAAATTGGTCCAGCCAATATGGAAAACAGTATGGAGAATCCTTGGAAAACTGGAAATGAAACCATGATTTGTCAGCCATCCCACTCCTCAGTCTATACCCTAAGGACTTAAAAGCAGCATACTACAGGGACACAGCCACATCAATGGTTATAGCAGCACAATTCACAATAGCTGAACTGTGGAACCAACCTAGATTCCCTTCAGTAGATGAATGAATAAAGAAAATGTGGTCTATATACACAATGAAATATTATTCAGTGCTAAAAAAGAATAAAATCATGGCATTTGCAGGTAAATGGATGGAGTTGGAGAATATAATGCTAAGTGAAGTTAGCCACTCCCAAAAAAACCAAATGCTCAATGTTTTCTCTGATTTAAGGATGTTGATTCATAATGTGGTTGGAGGGGAATGGAAGAATTAGATGAACTCTAGATAAGGGAAAGGGGAAAAGGGGAAGAAGGGAAAAGGAGGAAGCAAGGGGGTAGGAAAGATGGTGGAATGAGACGAACATCATTACTCTAAGCACATGTATGAAGACATGAATGGTGTGATGCTACTTTGTGTACAACCAGAGATATGAAAGATTGTGCTCTATATGTATAATATAAATTGTAATGCATTCTGCTGTCATATATAAAAGATTAAAATTTAAAAAAATGAAAAAAGGAAATAAAACAGAATGGTAAAAATGGAAAATGATAAATATATTTATGGAATGACTATCAGGTATTAAGTCTAGTATTTAAATGCAATTATTGTAGCATTTATTAAGCACTGATAATAGCAGAATATGAGAAATAATATGGAAATTAATGAAATAACACTCAAGTTTAGATTTATAACTAAAAAATGACACATAATTGCAAAGCAGTAAGACATAGATATTGAAAACTTAGGATTGAGGAAAAATCCACCTGGGATTCAGATACTGCATCTTCCTTTCATTAATCATGTTACTTTCTTGTATACATATTGCCTCTATAAAATATGGATGATATTAATATGTACTGTGTGTAATATAATATTAATATTACAATATTAATATGTAATATGGTTGTAGGTGTGAAATCTGAATAAAATAATACAGGTGATGTGCCTGATCTATAATAAATGACAAGTAAATGTTGAAAAAAA